TATGGCTGCGTTCGGGGAGCGTGCTATTAGCGCTATTTGCTTATTCTATCCTTGTTTTATACCTGATGAGCGATAAAGATAGAATGATACAATAGCGCTAATAGCGTGCTCCACGAACGTAGCCTATGAATACCGGCCTATGTTACTTATGTCCAAAAATGTTCTATCTCTTCTGTCTTTACTTAATCGAATCGTTCATTTGAATATTTCAGAAAATAACGACGCAGAAGGTGACATCGGAGCAGCGAGGGAATCCTGCGAAGCTGATATCTCGAGCAGCCTGAGAGGAGGAGGAGGCCTAGGATAGGCATCGGGCATCGGCGTACCAACACTTCTAGTAAATATTACTTTTTATTTTTTTCTAAAGATATTATAAAATCTCTCTTTTGGTTTGTGCTTATTCAGTTGCTACATTAAACCGTGTTTTAAAATATAAATTAGTAAAAAGAAATAATTTGAAGATTCAAGTTGAATTTAACGTAGAGACCTTTTTGCGAAGAGGTAAATTGAATGTGTATTAATCTGAATAATGAATAAAATGTTCAATGCGCGTGACAATTATTTAATCGATTCGATTATTTTTATGTTACAGAAAATATCCACGCTGGAAGGACCATCAGTTTCGCATCGAGGGAACACGATGGACATCTCGAGCAGCCTGAGAGGAGGTGGAGGCCTCGACCTGACAAATCAGGATACGCCAAAGCTTGTGCGTTACTTACGTCCACGACTACGATTGTCATATGTGCTTTGGCTCTAAGGCTGATGGCAGAGAATGAAACGTAGGCTCTTACGTCTATCGTAATCATAGACGTTTTTCTTTACCTTGCTTCACGTCTATGACTACGATAGATGTAAGAGCCTACGTTTTGTTTTCTGCCATCAGCTTAATATACAAACAATCATTAGAATATAACAAGCAGAATAGAACGTCTGTATGTAAAATATATTAAAATATACGATTTTGATCTATATAATATAATATAGATCGAAATACTTGGCATATAAAATTATAGATACAATCTTATCTCGATATCCAACGTTTTATAAACGTTATAAATCTAAAGCGAACTTTGTCCTACACTCATTAAAATATGTTGCGCAAATGCTGCAAAATGTTGTTAATCTAAACAGTGTTCCCTATTTCACAAAGGTTTAATAAATCAGATCTAATCAGAATCTTGCGTCTCGTTTCCGTCTTCACGGAAAATTAGATCTATCGGTGATAAGGCACGAAATTTTTCTACGTATCTAGTGTAGTAAAGTGATAGTGCGATAACGATAACGAAGAAGTTGGCGCTTTCCAGCGATTCGAATAGTCCAGTGTACGCGTAACTGGCCGATTATCAATCGCTGTGTGTTGTGATAATGTCTGTAATCAAATGAGACGTCTACAATGGGGAGCGACTCGTGATGCAGTTTTTCTCGGCGATACCCTGGCATTCCATCGACAGTAGACACCGCTAGCAAATCTCGACTCGGTAAGTTCACTTTCGTCCGGTGCTTCAAAATGAGGTTTCGCCTTATGTTTCTTCGCGCCTCGGCCGCCTTCAATAAAACTTTTCTCCGTAAATCCAAAATTAATATAAAAAATTTGTACGATGTATCAGATACGAATAACGTGTGTGTTTCAAGAGTTGTAACCCTGAGTTGGAATAGTTGGACGTTATAAGAAATGTGATAGAGCAGTGGGATACTTAACTCGCATATATTTTTTTGTAATTGTATTATATCCTTTCAAATATCCTTCTTACTTCTGTTCTTATTTGCAACTAGCATTTAAAATATTTCGGATATAACATTTTATACTAGAGTTCGTAATTATTTATACTACAAAGTGTTCGCTCAATAAAACGTTCACGATTTAAGAAATGTCAGGAAGCAAACAACTTAAGAATCTCCCTCTCTTCCTTTCTTGTTGAACTCGATACGGCGCTTGATAGAAAAAAAAGAACGGAACGGGATGCGCAAGACGAGTGTGATATAAACTTGCGCGTGTATCGATCAGCTATAGTGATGCCGTAGCGTTTCTTCTAGGCGAATTCCCAGGACGCATCATGCCCGCCTGCCTCGGCACTGATCGCACAGGCGCTCTCGAATTCAGAATGCTCACCAAGGACAGAATCGAGGATGCCCTGACCGTACAGCAGCACTCTATGCGACAAGAGTGTATCGCAATCGGCATGGGCATGTACGAGGATCCCGGCGCTCCCGAAGAGATGCAGTTGGTCTTTAGGGAGGTCATCAAGGACGGATGCACGGTGATCGCGGTCGATCGATCGGATCGCGTTGTCGCTGTGGCGTTCAACAAGTTACATGCAAGTACAAAAAGCGCGATCTTAAATCATCGGCATAAATAATCGGTTTAAATATGACTTTATTTTTGGCATATCGCAGATTTTATCGTCGATTGCCGTTTGATAAATAATTCGCCGCGACTACGCTTTTGCGATTAACGACCCGCGATCGAATAATTTGCTAGATTGACACTTCAATTATCACAAATGATCGCAATATCGTAGGGCGTAGGGAATGTCGGTGCTGTTAAAAATGATTAGCTGAAGAAGATATTGAATGTTTTATCATTCGTATATGTATATAAATTACAGCATATTGTTTGTATATATTTATATTTATACTATATACATATATTACGGCATGTATTAAATTAAAAATGATTTGTCAAAGTAATGGAAAATTAATTGGCATTTTTAATTTCGCCGATCTCTGAAATGTCTATTTATATTTTCAGGTGCCTCCCCAGCCAGAAGAAACAGATCCCTTAGGATTATTTATAGAAAGTAACATTAAGCATCGCTCGTGCCGGGATCTGATTGAGTTCATCGACGACGTGAGTTTGTGATTTATATCGTTTTATACATCCTGCAATCAACAATGTCAACATGAGTGCTCTAATTTCCTTATAGATCTTAAAACTCTTTCGCAAATAGCGATAACTATCGTAGCTATCGCGATCGCTTTTGCTTGTACTATTAATTAATCTTCAGAAGGCCGTAATTTGCACGTCTTATTTGAAGAGTTTCTTGTTTGCGCATAATAATTTTCAGCGCCGACTTTCCTGTTAATTAGCAATCAAACTTAGCATTATTAATTACATTTGAAACAAGATCTAAAATATTCATTTTTTTTTTATTTGAATACACCCTTACGATTCTACACATTGCAAAAAATTTAACAATAACAATTTAATTTAATTTTCTCATAAGACATAATTAAGAAAAATGCGTTGATTGAATTCACGAATAAATAGATAGTTGCTTTCTCTCTCTCTCTCTCTCTCTCTCTCTCTCTCTCTCTCTCTCTCTCT